TGACAAGTGCATTAAGAGAGAAAAAACGCCTCCGCTCCGGATTACTATTTCATCTTCAGTGAGCAAATAAATGAAGATCAGCCGGCTAAACAGCAACCACGTACCACTCATGTGCTGTGTATTTGCTGCTTCAGTTTTTAGTGCCTCACCAGCTTAGAGAGAAAGGGAAACGACGAATGGGTGGAAGACGGGGCTAGAGGCTGAAGCTGCGAGGTACTGCTGAGTCTCGAATCCGAAGGAAGAGGGTGAGATAAAAAGAAGCAGCTGCAGTTAAAGATGAGAGCTGGGCTGATAAGCAAACAGGTGAATAAAGATGGGAAGAAGAAGAGAAGAGAAAACACCATCCACAGATATAAGCCAGAGGGGATAGTAGACAAAGTAGCACGGAGAAGCAGAGTGGGGCGGGGAGGACTTGGCACAGTGGAGGGAGAATGGAGGCAGCGCCGTGGTGAGATGCCTCATGGGAGGATGACACATATCTCATCCCCTGGAGAGTGAAGGAGAGGGGCCAGACAACCCTGCTGATTGACTGGCAGTGTGTTGGCCTGCCATTCACCATGCACTCACACTCATTAACACTGGCTGCGACGGAGCCAAGGGCAGAAAGCAGCACTGCACAATAACATTTACCAACATAAAGCTGTTCTTTGCCAAACGACTGTGCAGCATAAAAAGGAGCTTTTAAAAAATATGCGATTCCCCGTTCTCAGCTCTTTTTCAGTGAACATCCATGTTATTCTGGCAAGACATCAGAGTGCTGTGTCAACCATTTCTGATATAAACAAACAGCATTCCAATTGCTGTCATCTCAGGGAAAGAGCTTGAAAGAAACAGGTTACAAACTGTTTTTAAAACTTGTTAAAAAAAAAGAATACTTCCACATGCCAAGACAAGCTGAAATCAGCTTCTATGAGTACAAACAGAAACACCTTCTCCTTGTTGCAGTCTCTCCTTATTGAGTTAGGTATAGGGGTGAGTTGCAGAGAAGCGAAACAATCTCCATTCTCCACCCCTTTCCTTGTTCCACAAACATTAAATACCTGCTTATTAATTAATGCGCGGCCTCTGCATGCTGAATCCAAACAGGCTGGATACAGTGGCAGTATGACTCACCAGATTGGCGCTGTCCAAGGTGCTCCCAGAGAGAATACATCACACTTCTCGACACTGCAGCCCACGGGTAGCATCTGAGGGATTTGTGTATTAGTACTGCTCTCTACTGGCCATTAGATGCATTACTGCACTGTTCATATAGGTCTCCATCACCATCTTGCGGGAAGGGGAGACATTATACTTTATTATCTTCCTCTTGTGCTTGTGATGTGTCTCGACACCCACTAACGTTGAACTAATGATTCTGAAAATGAAGGAAGTGTTTCAGTAAATTCACAGGTTTTTTTTCATGATTTTGTATCAGCTGATGTTAAAGACTTTGAATGTTTCATATTGCATATTAAAGACAGTCAGTTCAGTGAACTGGTGGTGCGTTCCTTACCCGCCAATAAAATACCCAGCATGTGCCCTAAAGGCAAAATCAGTCCTCAGTTGTTCACATCTGCAACGCCACATCTGTGATGGTTACATCCCTATTCATTCATCATTCAAGCAGCACATTCTAATGGGACGAACATCCGTTTAACAAATGTGCCTCAACGCTTGGTGAAAACTGATAATTTCTTTTGAGTGTAAATAGTTTTAGAAGATGCTAAATCCCACTTTGAAAATGAAATGGCTGTGCTCTGAAGCATCAGAGAATGATATGCACCAGTGTCGCCTGTGGGGAGTTACTGTGCGGAAATCCTCGCTCCGCATTAGACAGAGACAATTGATCAAAACAGACTAATTAATGTATGTGTTTTACATATATTCATTTCCGAATCAAATATTAATGAAAGTAAACGTACTTGTTTTTCAAATGAGCACAAGGCTATCAAATATTTCAGACACACCTCATTAAAGATACAGAGCCAAGAGCGAACATGCATTTTTAAAGGGCCACGAATCACAATGGCGTATCGCAGAGTTGGCTGCTTAACAGTGTGGCCTAGATCAGATCTGCAGAGGGCTTAGTGTCTTCTTGAGAAGAATCAGGACCTCTTGGCCTTTTTCCCCTATACGTCCTTTAAAGTAAACATAAAAGTAGCTCCGGGGCTCCTGATGTCCTCTTACTAACAATTCACATAGTAAAAGAAGAGTAAAGAGAAGCTTTGGGCCAATGAATTGGCAGGGTTTGCATATTATCAAGTGTTGTAGTGATACATACAAAAAAACACTAGTTAGACCTCAGTTTAGAGTTTATTAAGTCCATAGCCAAACGAATACATTCAGTTTGGGTTGAAAAGTCTTTCTCATATTTTCTCCATCTCATTCATATCAGTATAACCCAATAATATTCAACAGCACTACAAACTACAGCCTCCAAAAGTGGAATCAACACCTCTATAAAATCAAACGGCACTAACTTTGATGTCAAAATGATTGCTGTTTTATTTATAATCTTTTTTATATATTTATTTTTCTATTTTTTTTAAGTAAAGGTAGCTCAAATGTATCTCCATGGATATGTGCCAGTTTTCCTTGTCTCCTGTGAAACTGAATAGTTTTGGGTTTTGGACTTTTCATATCAATACATGACAATGATGTCATCTTGTGGTCTGGTATATTGTAACAGGCATTTTCCTAAACATAGCAGACATTTATAAAAGCATCTGACATGTTAAAGACCAAGCAGTTAATTGATTAAGTGAAAAACAAACTTGTTAACGACGATTTTGTCCACTCATCGATTAATTGATTTAATGGACAGATCTGTAAGGTTTCTCCACAAAGAATCGCACAAAAGCAACACTTTCATTCTTATGTTTAGCAGAGATGTCCTTCAAGGAAATAAATGCAGCATGAAAAGGCTTTAGAATATGACTATAAGGCTAAAACTATCAACCAGCAGCCCTACACTTTTCCATATTTAAGCTTAAGAGGTTAAACTGGATTTAAGTGTCTGTCGGTCAAACTGTGCTGCCAAATAAATCTGTTGCGCTTTCCATTCTGTTCACTGTGTTTGTATTGGATACGTGAGCTTGTGTGCATGATAAGATGTTTGTTAGGCCTTACGCATTTGCTATCGGTTTTTCTCTCTGACTTGGTATTATTCAATTGCCTTATTGTTGTGACATCTGTTCATTTATTAAAGTTCATAAACAGGCATCGGCTGGCACGGCGGCCATCACAACAAACACAAAAACACAACACTGCGAAGACAAATAATCTGCACTCACTGCTTGTAGATTCATCTTCACTCGTGCAAATCAAGTCCGTGCATTGATCTCTGGGTTTAGGTTAACCAGCAGCCTGTCTCCTGCAGGCTGCTGCCTCGGCCTTTTACGAGACTAGAAGTTGTGTCCAGAGCTGGACGTCCTTTGCACCTATTCAAGCGTTTTCACGTTGAACATGTCCGCTCCACCTGATCAAGGTATCATGACTGCATTCGACAATCATTTTGAGCCCATCTTGAGAACATTTTTTACAAATACGTTTTAAGATAAATTTAAAACAAACGTAGTAATATTTTTGACTTTTCTATCCAGCTACCACAAATAAAATAAATAGACTACATTGCCAATATGATGAATTTCCAAGGTGGTTGCAGGAAGTGATTCGGATATATTTTTGCGTCACCAAAACGTATAGTTTATTTTAGCATGATCGTTATCTAATAATCTTATTTTCAATCAATGCTATAGCCTTCAATATTATGTTTGACTTGTCATACCAGGAGAAGCACAGGTGTTACTAATATTAATGGTGTTCAGGGTCTTTGGGTGTGCTGTGCTTCACACCAACAGGTGGCGGGGCTGGAACTGATGCCAGACCAGTAGATAAATGATTGCCGGGTCAGACAATGATCAAAACCATGAAAGCACAAGACAAGACAGTGGCCTGCTGCATCTCTCCCATAGCAGGTTATATTTTCACCTCAGACTTGGACTGAGGGACACTCACACAGGCATGTGGAGAACAAAGAGATGTTCTTGTCTCAACACTAAACTAGTTGGAATTCTGTATAACATAACACCAGTTATGCAATCTGCTTCTGAAAAACTCATAACACAATCATAAACCAAAAGGAGTCAACTGGAAAATGAAAGGCCGGTTGTATTTATTGTAGTTTGATGGAGTGTATAACACCGTTAGGTGGTGTCTGAATACAGCTTCTCAACTGAAACAACGAATACAAAAGTCAGATTTGAATCACACATTTCACTGGAGGCCTATTTGGCATTCATAGTACAGTATGTGAAGCAGGTTATGCAGCTTTAATCAGCTGCCACAAGCTCATTTGTTTGTGGTTCCGCTGCATTATTGAAGGCAGCGACAATAACCAACAAAACAATCTCAGTGCGTATTCAGTCTAAATGGCCAAACTTTGTCATGTCAAGTTATTAATCTTAGCGCGGTTTGTTTCATTAAATACTGTGTTGTATGTGCACGTTCTGTTCCGAGCTTTGGCCATGACTAGATGTGAGCAGCAGAGGGAGCCCGTTCAAATGGTTCAGGTCTAGGCCGGTGTCGTGATTACTAGTCATTTCTCAGTACCACGGTGTCCTGTGCCTTCCACGAGGTGCTGACTCACTTTCTGCTGGGGAAAGGACATGTAGGGCGGGCTTTGACCGACGTGCCTCATGAGCGCACGCACACTGTCTGGGAGACACCGAGACTGTTAATCACCAAGTGCTCATTTTCAAAACAGAAAAATAAAACGTATGCATTTTGTTATGGACTGGTACAACAAACCTATATACTTTGAGTTTAGTGTATAGAGAATATGTATTTGAAGTGTTAAGGGGAAGACCAACTAAAGCATGTTTATTTGAATACAACAGAGAAGCTGGTAGCCTCGACAGAGAGATCACAGCCATATATCCACTACCTGCCTACATATAGTACAAACCACCTTCACACCTCTCACAATAACTCTGATTCAAACAGAAAAAACAGACGCGTGCTTTTTATTTCAATTTATTTGTCTTTAAAGAACCAATACGAATTGGGGATGTTTTCAAAATGGGTACAATGATAAAAAACTGACCATTTTCATTCTTCTCCACCTCGTCTTTCAGGTTGAATCTTAGGCTCTGTGTGTGTTTAAATATGTATACTTAGGGAAGTCCTATTGTAGCCCTGTTAAGGAGAATGAATGAAAGCCAGAGAAGTACCTTCTGTAAGAGTTGCTGCGTGTTTTCCTGTTTAACTGCCTGGATGAGGTGGTCTGAAGTGCATGTGTGTCTGTGTGTAGGATGCTCAGCAAGGTTTGGTGGGCTTATCTGAGGTGGACTGATTATTGCACTCCAAGATAAAAACAAAAACATGGCTCTCAATGGATAAAAAAAAAACAAAAAAAAAAAAACAACAAAAGTATTGGATAACAAAGTGTCCTTGCCCTGCCAAACACATAACTGCCACACGTCATATCTTGTGAATAAATATTTCAGACATATTCAAACTGAGTGAACCCCTAAACTGAAAGTGACTTGAAGCAAGTGAAGGGTAAAAATAAAAACATTACTGCATTTTCAGGTGAACCTTTGAAGTTTCTGTGCAAAAAAAAAAATAAAATAAAAACAAAACACCCAAATACCAAAATGGACAGTCACAATATGTGTTGAAAGATTTTAAAATGTTTTTTATAAAAAGGTACATCATTATGGCCTAATCATGATATCAATTAGTGGAAATAAAAATCAGTTTATCATTTAATCTTTTCATCACCTTTTTGTTTAAGAAACAAAAATTCACAAAATGGAAAATGTTATCCCATGATCACAACTGAAACAAGAAAAGAAACAGGATGGACTCAAGTTGAAAAGATTCTGGCCCGTGGTTGAACAGTATAACCGGGAGGCAGGCCTGTCTGTGTGCTTTGACCTTCCATTCATCGGTTCAGCTGGTGGATCCCCAGATCTGGATTCATTCACTAGCTCTCTGATCAATTAACCATGACTCAGTGTTGACAAATCATCACAATAATTACTGATAGCACTCTTCATTTTTTTTTTTTTATTCATTTTTTTTTTAATCTCCCCCTTGTTGGAAGATTCCCCACAAGATGTGCATTAGAAAGATGCACCGACAGGCCGCCTACTGCACACAGCAGTTGTGGCTGTTGGTATCCTTGAACTTCAGACGCATTTTGGGTCTGTATTTCTCGAGGTAAAGAAGCTGTTTGGAGTTGAAGGCTCCACGTCTCTTCCTATGAAAAGCAGAGAAATGGAGGGAAAGAACATTAATAGGCACAAAATTAGGCAAAGAGCACACCATAAGCAAACATTACTGTAGCGATATACAGTCCAGCTTAACTTTTGCAAATACCTCGGACAATACTTTGCACGTCCCGTCGCAAAATTGTTCTGCTTCTCTTTTTTTTGTAAATGGCCTCTGCATTTAACCCGTTCTAAGCAAGCATCTAACCCAGCGACATACGGGCAGAAAGGAGCCGCCGACAATGTGGTTAAAGAACATTGTTCATTCACTTCATGCCAGAGAGTTAGTCTGTTAAATATAAGCTGCATTTGGCAGCCTGGTCGTGGATTTCGTGGATGGGAGCGGTACCTTCCTGGAGTCTCAGCACAGCCGTAAGGCGAATGCTGTAAGTGTTGAACTATTCCTTTAACTCTGGACACCATTGTTTCCTGCTGTAGTGCCAAACTCGAGAAATACCTCTCCCTAGTATTTACTATCGATGGACAAATGCCAAAAAACGCAAAAGTAGCCAAAATGCATAACCGATTTACCTGAATGACAACTTTGAATCACAGTTTGGCTAATAACAATAAGAGGCTATTATTATTATTATCTTTATTAAAGTAGAAAGGTAGGGTGGGTACTTACTGCCTTATGAACTGCACAGCCTCCTCATACTTCATCCCAGTCTCAATGAGGGCTAAGGCCACCAGGACTGGAGCTCTGAGAGGTGAAGAAATCCAGTGGACCGGTTCAAGGAGAAAGGGAGAGAATCAAAGAAGGAGAGCAGAAGATTAAATGCCAAGGTTCACATGGTTCCATAGTAATATGGTGGAAGGGAAGGGGGGGGGTTGGGGGTAAACCTGGGAAACAGGCCTGGGAAATCAACAGGGGTGCATATGTTCACTGTTGCCCTGCTGGGGCCCGGTGCTCTCACACACACGCACACAAAAAACCCGGTGATAAGTTACAGTAAGATAACCTTCTCCTTTCTCACCAGATGAGAGAAAATAAATAAATATAAAAAAAGATTTTCTCGACCACTTGGAGGGTCAAATCTCAGTGCTGACAGAGCATTTCCTCCAGTGGCTGTTCTCTCACACAACATTCACAAGGGACAGCGTGTGAGAAAGGAGGGATTGGCCAAAAACGGGAAGGAGAAAGCGTGCGATAGAGAGGAACAAGGAATGAGAATATTGTCAAAGAAAGGAACAAACAACAACAAGGACCGCTGCTGCTGCCTCCCACACCCAAGACCCTGAAGAGAAGGCCGGTGTAAAGCAGATCAGACTGCAGTAGACGGGCCAGGGAAGGAGAGGAATTCAGAAAATAGCAGTCTAACCAATACTGCTAATTATACAACCTCTGGAATGCTACAGCAATGCAAAATGCTGGAGGCCAGTTGAGAACTGATTGGCTTATTGTGCGTTTGTGGTGAGGAAGGACATTTTAACACTCGTTCTCCCACGTCACGGGCTTCTGCCCGCTTTGTTTTCACACTTGTGTTGTTATTCTGCACAACCCGCCTGTAACTCACTGTCACATTGGTCTGTGAATACGACGACAGCCTGTGCAGCCTCAGTTCACATGCAAATGTAATTGCCTTTTCTTTTCATGTCTGCAGAAGCAACCGAGTGTTGTCACTTATGATAATTCAACCAGCCGATTTGTCCATTTACGCCCAGTTCACACGACACGACGTCAGCCCCGATTGTTTCATTCCAGATATTTAGCATTACCGAATGTCTGGATCGGTCAGGGAGCTACAGCCAATGAGCGCGCAGGACACCGGTTGAGGAGAAACCTGTCAGAGTGACGACCACGCCTACAGCCGACCTGTGTGTGCCATGTGTACGGACCAAAGTTGTTGTTGTTGCAGCACCTAATGTGTCGAATGTTTGCATGAGAACTCTGAAAGTCGTGGAGTGTGAACTTGGCTTCACGGAGCACGAGCAGGAAGAGAGGACAACCTTTCAAGATACTGAATTAATCACCAGTTACTGATGTTAGAGCAGACCGTTAACGCTAAAAAGTCGAGCATACGACAATCCGCACTGCCTCCTGCGTTATTGTCACATCTCTCTCTACACAAGTGGATGCAGCTTGCCACTCACCGTCCAAGTCCTGCTACACAGTGCACACCGATGCAGCAGCCGGGTTCCTCTCGGAACTTGGTGTTGAGCAGCTTGAGCCAGTCGTCCACGATCTGGGTGGGAGGAGGCGCGCCATCATCGAAGGGCCAGTCCTAGAGGAGACCAAAGAAGAAGAGTGTCAGTGTAGGAGTGAAACATATAAGAAAGGCTGCCACAAGTGTGTGTGTGTACTCTTACCAGGACCTGAATCCCCTCCTTCTCCACTGGAGTCTTATCATAAGTGGCATCACAAACTCTCACCAGTGTGTTCACATCACACTTCTTCAGCTCCTGGTAAGACATAAAGAGAGATCTTTTAGACACGGGACTTGCAAACGAACGCACACGGACACCAGGCGTGGTGGGATGCGGGCGTACCTCGGTGAACTTGTTGAGCGTGGCATTGGTGGGGTTGTGGGTAATGACGAACCTCATGCACTCGTAGGCAATCTCGACTGCAGCGGGGCGGTTCATGTTGGCGAGACGGCTTAAAAAACAATTACAATACAATACTCTTACAAAACAAAACAACTTTTTGGCTCAGAAGTCAGCAAAGGACTGCTAAGAGATTCATGTGTTCAGAAATGGGTAGAATAAATAAAAACACGTGGTGAAGGATGGGTTCAGGAGGACAACAGCTGTTCAACTATGTGAGGATGTACACAGAAAAGGGAAACGATCAACTAGTCCACAGTACTCCGGGATGTAAAAAAAAAAAATAAAAAAATGAATTTATACAAAACCCAAAAATGTGAAAGAATTTAAAAAAAAAAAAAAGAAAAAATAAAAGATGGAGAGACTATCCAGGAGTCATCCAATCAGTTTACCCCATTCAGGAGAGCTGTTTGTGATTGGCTGTTCAAGAAGAAAGCGGCGAGCAAAGACTTGTCGTATTGGTTGGGACAAGGCGGAGCAGTCGGGGCCAAGGACTACGCAGGATCCCAGGGAGAGCCGTTGGTTGATGAGTCAGCAGTTCCTAGTGTGCCGGCTTGTCAGGGCGGTTTCCGGGTAGCGTAGTCCCTCGGGGGGCGGCCGATTCACTTCTCCACGCAGGTGAGGTGCTGTGCCTGGCAGAATTCTCCACTCACACACGCCATATAGGTACGGCTCAAGTCAACACAGAAACCCTGCGGAGAGAGGAGGAAGAGGAGAGTGAGGTCACACGATGGTAATAACTAACACACAAATTATGAAATATGAAAAAATGTCTCTGAAGATGATTAGCAACTGAAACAACCTGTAGCATGCTCACACCTGTGGTCACAACGGGAGAAGACCGTCGCATCTTAAGAGTTTAATTAGACCCCTGTGCTTCTTAAATGTCAGCCTTCTGCACGTCATTTTAAGTTGCATGATTGTACCTTCTAGCCATAGTTATATATAACTTATGCATGCCATAGAGATGCCGGCACGAGGTGCGTGCGCCTAATAATTGTTGTCATCACTCGGGTATAGAGACTAGAGTATAAACAAAACTTTATGTATCGGCTGTAAACCAACTACACCGTGGGATTACATAACCCTTTTATTCTATCACCTGGAAACTAATAATATGCTCAGCGTGATGCGCCACACGCTTAAAAGGGGGTGTCCAACACAACAGGTAATGTCTGGTCTGTAACCAGCCAGAGTGCAGTCAGTCAAACTGTGCCAAGTCCTTGACAGTCTAAACCCAGCCGCCACAAACTGGCTGGAACTGTTTCAGAGAGCAACACAGGAGGGAGGTAGGAAGAGGGGGGGGGGGGGGCGGGGGGGGGGCACACACACACACACACACACACGAGAGAAAGGGCTTGGACTTCAGCACCGTGTCACAGGCGGCAGTCACAAGGTGAGGATTGCCGGGTGGGCAAAGCTTCAAACAAGCAGTACAGTCCCACGCTCCCTCATTTCACCTACTTGAGACCGACACAAGACTCTCTGTGCTCTTCCTGACTCTCTTTCCATTCCTATCTCACTCAGAATTTACTCAGGATATTAAACTGAACTGTAAGACCGTATATACCCCCGTGCCACTTGTCCTCTCAGCTAACTGACAACCACAGAGCCACTATGAAGAGGAAGTATCAATTATAATCATTTATTTCCTCCCTTCAGTCTTTTATACTTTGCAACATCCACAAGGGCACTCGAAACAGCATTGATATTTTTTTATTTTTTTTGTTCTTGCTTGATGGCCGAGATCCTCCGCGACGCCTTTAATTACCAACTGAGCAGTTCGAAACACAATGTGGCATTGCTGCATGCAGACAAGTGAAACTTGGAATAAAAAGCAACCAGACTTTAAAAGCTTCTAATCTTCTAGAAAAGGAAAAAGGACAGACACGGGGCAGTAAACATGTGCTTTCACCTGTGAAGCCTGAATGTGGAAAGGAGAGCAGACTGAAACATGGCAGAAACACTGAAGAACAAAAACGCTCAGACGCATCAAGGACACCACAATGACAGCTTATGCTAAAAGATGAAAAGCAGCTGGTTTGTGGAGGGTTGCCCAGATGCACAAAGTGACTTCATACAGTCAATAGCAGCGTTACCAAGAGCAAAAAGGCCATTTTAAAGTTCATACTGGAACATGGACTGAAGAACTTCTGGGCTAGATGGGAAGCAGCACAATTGTTTCTTTATTGGACGCCATTCTGTCATCATGATCAAGTCCAACATGCCTCTTCTGCACCGATCTGATAGGAGACCGCATGAACAACCCGAGCGAGCTTATCAATGGGGAAGCGAGTAAACTGTGACATCACGCCGGCGCTGCTGGGAACACATGCAAATCACTCAGACATTTGCAAACTGGTTCTGCAGTAACACAGCGCACAGATGCAGGAAGAACAAACAAACGCATGCAGAGACACCCCAAACATGTTTAACCACACAGGAAGCAAGAAGCAGAATACACCAAAGCCTCAAGACTGAGCAGCATGCAGCTCAATCACACCGAGTGAACGGCTGAAGTGTCGTTACTTTACCGCTAAAATACACAAAATACACCGATACCAGAAAAGGTATCGCAATACCCTGTTGCTAAAAAAACATTTCTGTTAGTACTTTAAGAATGTGTGAGCCGTAGCGCTCTGCTCTAAAGGGATGGCATCAAGATTGGGATCGAGCGGTTTGAACTTTGCTGCAAGCGGCAAAAAAATAACCTCCATGGATTTAGCTCGGGCTAACCAGAAGGACGGAGTCCACAAATGGAGTTAAAAAGAAGAATAAAAAGGAGGTCATGCACCGCTCGCCGGCATCAGCAGACAAACAAGGAAAACAACAACGTGGCTCTAATTACCAACTAGACGTACCGATAAAATTCACCCTCTTTTCTGTATCTGTCCGAGCATCTCCTGTCATTACGGCAAACACATTATCCACCAAAGAAGCGATGTTTAAGTATTATTTCACCGTGTTTCTCAGTAACATGAAATAAACTGAAAGGAAAAGCAGGCGAGGCAGTAGAGCGTGGCGTTCTGCACAAACACCATATTTAGGCACGGTATCGTAATGCAGTCATCATTTTGATATCGTGGCAAGACTAACGAACGGTCCATAACTCGAAGATGGTCCGTTTACTGTAACAGAAGCTTCAGAAATCCCACAGACAGAAGCTGGAGGCTGAAACCACAAAACATTTGGCATTTTTTGCTTTAAAAATCCCATTATTCATCTCATCATTTCAGCTCCACCTCTCCCAGAAATCTGCTACAGCGACTAAAGAGAGAAGAGAGGATGGGAAGTGGGAGAGAGCAGGGAGTAGCGGTACTAGCTGATAAGGACCGCTGCGTCTCAGAACAGAACAGGACACACAAACCTAAACCGGCGATAAAGTCGCAAAAGAATGGCAATCGGGGCATGGGTGTCCTGCAACTGCCAGCTCATTATTTCGTGGATGATTCATCAGCCTGTCTGGCAAAGTATAGAGCGATCTGAAAACATGCATTTGATTGAAATGTGGTTCGAGTGTAAGAGACGAGGCAGCTGTTCATTTATCGTGATTTACAGGAGCAGATTACACGATTGAATATGTTCCGTTAACAAAGCAGAAACAGATCGGAACACTGCCTGTGGAAGTTAAGTTATCACAGCTAAAGTGCACGGAGACAACTACAGTGGGAGTCCTAATTGAAAGCCGTCCACATCGTTAAGGACTTTACTGCCATGGGACTCCGTAATTATAGCGCTGAGGCCATGGGCAGCTCTTGCCGACACCCGATAGCCGTCAGGTGGCCGATCCTCATCACTGGCGCACCACCACAGATATGTTCATAAACTATGTAACACCGTGTACATAGTGTGGACAGTCACAAGCCGGCTGCGGGCGGTACATTTGCCACAAGGGAGGGGGGGGGGGGTGTTCCAAAATTAGAATTCACACCAACTCAAACGTCTGGCCGTGGAGTATACAGACTGGAAGTTGCAAAATAAAGGTTTACACAAAATGTGGTGCATCTGAGTCCATCCTTGTAATGTCAGTATTACACGTAACCCTGTCTGGTGGTCTGAGTTTGTGCTCAGAGTCTCGCTGGTGTTTTGTCTGGAGCCAGACTGAGCGTGACCAGACTGTGCTGCCTTGAAGCAGCTGCAGGGCTTCTCTGCTGTGTGAGAAGCAAGGGGGGGGGGGGGGGG